GGTTTATGTGTGATTTAAAGGACATATTCTGATCAACGATGACTCCAAGGTTCCTCACAGTAGTACTGGAGGCAAGGGCTATGTCATCTAGAGTAACTATATGATTAGACAGCAGATTTCTAAGGTTTTCAGGCCCAAGTACAATGACTTCAGTTTTGTCAGAGTTTAGAAGTAAGAAGTTGCAGGTCATCCAGGCCTTTATGTCTTTAAGACATGCTTGAAGTTTGACCAGCTGACCTGATTCATTTGGCTTCATAGATAAATATAACTGAGTATCATCTGCATAGCAATGGAAATTTATGTTGTGCTTCCTGATAATATTGCCTAAAGGGAGCATGTATAAAGTGAAGAGAATTGGACCTAACACAGAGCCCTGTGGAACGTCGTGACTAACTTCAGTTTGTGTGGAACATTTGTCATTAACATGAACAAATTGAAATCTTTCTGATAAATAAGATTTGAACCAACTTAGCGCAGTTCCTTTAATCCCAATAACATGTTCAAGTCTCTACAGTAAGATGCTGTGATCAATGGTGTCAAAAGCAGCACTGAGATCTAAGAGGACAAGTATGGAGACGAGTCCTTTGTCTAAGGCTAGGAGATTGTTGGTGACTTTCACTGATGGACTCTAAATCCTGACTGAAAGTCCTCAAACACATCATTCTTCTGCAAGTGGTCACATAACTGCTTTGCAATAGCTTTTTCAAGAATTTTGGAAATAAATGGAAGATTGGATATTGGTCTATAATTAGCTAGGACACCTGGGTCAAGAGTAGGCTTTTTGAGTAGAGGTTTAATTACTGCAACCTTAAAAGCCTGTGGAACATAACCTACTAGTTAAGACATAAAACCGATCAGGTTCACTGTCTAGTACAGTTTGCCTCTCTATCCACATGCACAGAGTGTGATCAGTATATCCATTCAGGAAATAAGGCTCTTCATACCGTTGATATTCCTTCTGTCTCCACATGAGTGGACAATGGCATTCGCAGGAACTGACCCCTGATCAGGAAGTCGAAGTCCACTTTGCTGTGAGATGCTGTGTTGATAGGAAAAAAAAAAAATACACACACATTAAAGATGACCCACTTTCAAGTACTGGTATTTTGTGAACCATTTGCTATCATATAGACTTAATAATACGGAATCAGAAAGTGGTAATTAGTGAAAATTGACAATTACAATAATCATAGGAAACAAATTAAAATTTCTGTTAAATTATATATTATCTAATTAAATTAACCTGACGTCAGTCTTTTCACAGTACAGAAAAAGTAATCAGAAATAGGCCAGAAATAGTGCAACATCGTGGTTAATGTTTAAAATGCAGTATATGTAAAATATAGTTGACCATTTTTATCCTCCAGTAGCTTGTTGATGATATTACTGAGGTCCTGCACTTCAGAGTCAGCTGGGATGGAGAACGGGACATCATCCACAACATATCTTCAAAGATATGGAGACTTTTGTTAGCACCATTGGTTACACTAATCAAATCCCCCTCTGACATAATATTTAATGGACTAATCAGTCATATTAGTTACTGTATATCCAAATTTGATGAAAGCAGTCAATCACATCTCAGCGTTGTTAGCTAAAAACGAGCTAAAACATTCATGGCTTCCTGTAGGATGCGGACAGAAACAAGAGTCTAAGCCAACACGTACAGCACACACGGTTGGGTAAAAGGCGGTAGTGGCTCATAACTACTGCTTACTGTAGCAAAGTTACCACTAACTTAGCTATCCGGCCCGCTAACTATTCCAGTCTTTTTTCTTATGTTTAGTTAAAATATTTCAGTGCTCACCTTTTGTTCTCTGTGATGAACCTCGCCTGTAACTGTGACATTTTTCTTACTTGTGTGTTTTACTTATAGACCACTAGATATAAGAACCTGTGAACTGACTAACTAGTTAGCCTGGTCCTTCCTCACAACTCCTACTCTCGTGTAGCCATGCCATGTGGTACAAAACAGGAAATCGAGCTGAGCACAGATCAAATCGATCGGTGCTTCAACTCAACGGTGCTCCTCCAGTGATGTCTGATCCTATATTCTCTGTGTCTATCTTAAAGGGCTCTCAAATAAACCTGTATGGAGATGAGTCCTTTGTCTAAGGCTAGGAGATTGTTGGTGACTTTCATCAATGCAGTTGTACTGTATTGTACAACTGTACTGTACTGTACTAGGATGGACTCTTGTTGGACAGGGTGCGCAGTCCACTCCTTTGGCTCGGAATAAGAGACGTTGTGTTAACGCTTAGCCTCCTCCGGCGTGTTTATTTTGTTACAACAAACATACAACTTAACATGGGGCTCTGAAATGGCAACAGTCTGGAAAATAATAATAAGAGCTCTCTTCTATGCTCCTTCTCTCAAGAAGTGATCCTCACACTCTCTTGCTCTCTTACATAACCGGAAGTATGTACAATAATGTCCTTCAAAACAAAAGCATGTTTCATACAATGAGTAAAGGCGTATTCAATAATTAACATCTTAACACCCCCACTCGCGTTTATCTCGTTGTGTCCTGAGGCTATAACAAATATATTCTTCCTTTCACCCTATATATATGTACACACATATACATATACACACCATAACGGGCAATGTTTATGCTTTCAAGTGCCAAACATTTTCTGAACAAACCTTTTTAACTTTACTTTACTAACTGGCTTTGTCATCACATCTGCAAGCATTTGCTCAGTGGGACAATACTCAAGGGATACTCTTCCGCTGTTGATAACCTCTCTTATGAAGTGGTACTTAATGTCTATATGTTTACACCTTTGTCTGTTCACAGGATTTCTGGCCAATGCAATAGTACCTTGGTTATCTTCATACACTCTTGTTTGAGTATAAGGATAATTGTCTATCCCTTTCAGTAGCTGATCCAGATATATACATTCCTGTATAGCTGTTGCTAAGGCAATGTATTCAGCTTCACATGTAGATAGTGCAACTGTAGGTTGTTTTCTTGTCTTCCATGATATTAGAGAGTTCCCTTCATTTAGACTGACACAATAACCTGAAATACTGTGTCTGTCCGTTCTCTCTGATGCCCAATCTGCATCACTGTAAACTCTTAGGCCAAGTTTACTTGTGTCATTTCTTTTGAAACATAAGTCCTGATCTGCTGTACCTTTAAGGTATCTGAACACATGTTTTACTGTGTGCCAGTGTTCTTCAGTTGGATCGTTTAAGTGCTGGGAAAGTTTGCTGACAATAAAACTTATGTCTGGCCTTGTGCATGTGGACAAATATATTAAACTTCCCACTGCTTCTCTGTACTTTCTTGGATCAGTCATTTTTCTAGCATCATCAGTGTAGTCAAGTTTCAACTCACTTGGTGTTTCTCTAGATCGGCACTCTACCATTCCAAACCTTTCCAATATTTTGTTTACATATCTCTTCTGTGACATGACAACTTTGTCTTCTGTTTGCTCAAAATCTATCCCCAGAAAATATTTCAATCTTCCTAGATCTTTCATTTTGAACTTCTCGGTTAGCATCGTTTTAACATTTTTCAGTACATTCTCACTGCTGGCTGCAATGATCAAATCGTCAACCCATATGATCAGGATTACCTTTTCATCTTGTTTTTCTCTTGTATACACACAGTGATCAGAAGGATTCTGAACAAAATCATTCTGACTTAAATATGCATGTAACATGGCATTCCAATTTCTACCGGACTGTTTCAGACCATAGATAGACTTATTCAGCTTGCATACCAGTTTTCCACCTGTTTCTGATTTTGACTCATAGCCTTCTGGCTGCTCAATATAGAGCTCACAGTCAATAGGTGCATGTAGATATGCAGTCTTTACATCCATCTGATGAAGAATTAAATTCTCCTGAGCTGCCTTTTGCATAACCACTCTCACACTGGTCATGTCCGCTGTTGGTGAGAATGTCTCTTCATAGTCTATTCCAGCTTTTTGACTGTAGCCTTTTGCTACGAACCTTGCCTTGTACTTTTCGGAACCATCAGCATCACTTTTGAGAGCATAAACCCATTTTCCCCCCACTGCATGTTTTCCCGGTGGTAGGTGAGTGAGAGTGAATGTTTCATTTTCTTCTAATGATTGCATCTCTTCATCCATCGCATTTTTCCATTGCTTTGATTTGGGTGAAGTAATGGCATCTTTGTAGGTTTGAGGGATATCACACACTGCTCTGTAACAAAAATCTGTATTAGTTTGCAGTTTGTTTACCCCATCATCCATTTCAAAGTCCTGTAGGTAAGTAGGTTTCTTCCTTGTCCTCTCTGGGTTCTTCCTGATCGTACTCTCAGGGATGTTTCCAGGTTGTGGCATTTCAGTCTGTTTTGTGGAAATATCAGAGATATTATCATTATCATGACTTGATGTACTTTCTC